AGCACTGTGCAAGCAATCATATTGAAATGGAAGGAGTATCAGACCACTGCAAATCTACCAAGACCCGGCCGTCCCTCTAAACTTTCATCTGGAACAAGGAGAAGACTGATCAGAGATGCAGCCAAGAGGCCCATGATCACTCTGGATGAACTGCAGATATCTACAGCTGAGGTGGGAGAGTCTGTCCATAGGACAACAATCAGTCGTACACTGCACACATCTGGCCTTTATGGAAGAGTGGCAAGAAGAAAGCCATTTCTCAAAGATATCCATAAAAAGTGTTGTTTAAAGTTTGTCACAAGCACCTGGGAGACACACCAAACATGTGGAAGAAGGTGCTCTGGTCAGATGAAACCAAAATTAAACTGTTTGGCCACAATGCAAAACGATATGTTTGTCGTAAAAGCAACACAGCTCATCACCCTGAACACACCATCTCCACTGTCAAACATGGTGGTGGCAGCATCATGGTTTGGGCCTGCTTTTCATCAGCAGGGACAGGGAAGATGATCAGAATTGATGGGAAGATGGATGGGGCCAAATACAGGACCATTCTGGAAGAAAACCTGTTTGAGTCTGCAAGAGACCTGAGACTGGGACGGAGATTTATCTTCCAACAAGACAATGATCCAAAACATAAAGACACATCTACAATGGAATGGTTCACAAATAAACGTATCCAGGTGTTGGAATGGCCAAGTCAAAAGTCCAGACCTGAATCCAATCGAGAATCTGTGGAAAGAGCTGAAGACTGCTGTTCACAAACGCTCTCCATCCAACCTCACTGAGCTCGAGCTGTTTTGCAAAGAAGAATGGGCAGAATTTCAGTGTCTCCATGTGCAAAACTGGTAGAGACATAACCCAAGAGACTTGCAGCTGGAACTGCAGCAAAAGGCGGCGCTACAAAGTATTAACACAAGGGGGCCAAATACTTTCGCAAGGCACTGTAGAAAGGTGAGATATAAGTACAGTCCATTTACTGTAAATACTTACAAAATCCATCTGTAAGAGTTCGGTGCCATTTAAAAATCAGCTGGTGGGGGAGGGGAGCTTCACTTTACATGGTCCTTTGACTTTTTCCCATTAGTTTCTCTTTTTTTCTCTCTCTTTTAACTTTTCTAAAATTAGATTGCATTGCATTACATAGATAGAAATGAATCTCATGAATTTGTTGTGCAAGCCTCCCAAAAATGGAGCTGATGTGAGACATGCTTGACTTCCAGGACAGATCCTTCGTAAAGATTCTTTATGTTTCCCAGAAACAGACAGAAGAAAATAAATGATGCCCGTAAAAGAATCATGGGACTCTGCGGTCAACAGGGGATGAGATAGCAGGTTTCTTTTCCTCCCAAGAACAAAAATTAAAAAGTTTTCACCTATTAGCACACTCGTGAAAATATTTTATGATGAATCTAAGGATCCAGTTTGACGTTTTATTTTCTACTTCTGTGAAGTTTTTGTGTTGACTCAGCATTTGGTGGGGTTTCTGCGTTTTCTGATACTGAACAGTTCTTCCTGTTTATCTAGTCTAAAATTCAGTTTTGACTAAACAAATACCCTGATTTTTTTTTTTTTACAGTGTGGATGGATTTACTTCCAGCCCCAACTGTCAGAAATACGATGTAGAAAATTACACACTAAACCTATGAATGTTTTATTTTTTATTTTATCTTTCAGACAACGCTGCAGACAGATGAGGTAAAGAATGTACCCTGTGGTACAAGGTGGGTTTGCTTTTCTGATAGTCGTAAATCACACGGGGAATTGAAACTTATTGCATTTAACTTTACATCCATATAGACCTACGCACTCTGCTGCTGCATGCCAACATATTACCAACCAGGCCGTTGTTTCACACTGCTGCTTTAGTAAGAGACTTTAATGTTGTGTTTTCCAGTGGAGGAGTGATGATTTACTTTGACCGCATAGAAGTGGTGAACTTCCTCATTCCATCAGCAGGTACCTAATGATGACTTCTTCTGCGCAGACGTTGTCAGATGAAATACATTGTTTAGCTGTATCCTGAGCACTCGTTCCCCTCTGCAGTGTACGACATAGTGAGGAACTTCACGGCAGATTACGACAAAGCTTTGATATTCAACAAAGTGCACCATGAACTCAACCAGTTCTGCAGCGTTCACTCACTGCAGGAGGTCTACATCGGCCTGTTTGGTGAGTGCCAAGCGGAGTGCGCACAAATGTTTCATCGAATAATCCTCCGAATTTATTTACTTTTTGGGTGTTTTTATTTATCTAGGTGAATTTGCTCCAGTTTTGTTATAATTTATTGTTCCCCGTTGCAGAGCGAAAAGGTGGAATTGAAAGTATACCCTCTTTCAGTCGGTCTGTGCACACTGTGTGCGTGATAACTTGAAAATAAGTGCAGTACCAACTTCCAGGAAACAGGAAAGTCCTTACAGAAAGTTATCACATAATGTATCACCTATCGGGGGGGGGCACGTCTGATTGGACGAGGCGTATTCGGAAGGTCATATCTGATTGGACGATAGAAAAATGGGAACAGAACTTCTGGTTACATTTCAAAATAAGAGCAACATAACTGGGTAGTGGGGAGGGCTAAATGTTTCTTTTTAATACCTAGCCATTACATTAAAAAACAAAATAAATTTTGGTTGTTGAAAAATGTGAAAATAGTTACAATCGATTCATAAAGAAAGAACAATAAAGTAAACAAAATATTAATGATACTTAAACTGGCTTTGGGACAAAGGATGTTTCCTTTAACTTCACATTTTCTTGTTCAACCTTTTAAATCAGTCACTGCAGATGAGTGATTTGTCAGTTTCTGTAAGATTTCTACAACTGGAGCAGGTATTTCTGTTTACTGGTTAACTTCCTCAGCTGTCTCACATTTTAAGGGTCAGTCCTACTCCATGTTTCAGCTCTTTCATAGATCAGATCTCATAGAAGAACTTCTAAAGAGAACATTTTGTTTTTAGCTTTTGTTTTGTGCCATTATCTCGTTACAGGCTCATGATCTTTAATTGAGACCAGACTTTGACAAATGGGAGTAGGTTTCGCTTCAAATGCTTCATATTTCATTGTACCCAGACCACATTCAAGACAACCTGTGTCAGGTGCAGCTACAACCAAGAACAAAAGAGAATCTTCTTGTGTTTGACAGCAAATATAACACTATTTCTTAGAAACCTTCAGTTTAAAAAAAGAGTTGACGTAACTTAACTAAAGAGCAGCAAATACAGTTAGCCAATCAGTGTTTGCCCCCCACAAACACCTATTCGCCAGAAACGCCCACTTTTGGTCTGCAGAGAACCCATTCTCAAATCTTTTATCGGTGCACCCCAACACGTAAGAAAGATTCCCTTCAAAAATTAAGTTGCTACATCAAAATCCAACACGGCTGATACACACAGGCCACTGCTATCATTTGAGGAAACTATGCTTTCTAGTTTTTATACTGCTTAAAGTATAGTTTCCTCAAATGAACAGGGTATCTGCTCCTCCGTTGGTTGTATCTGGTGGTGGATAAAATTACCCTTCTGTGTCTAGGATCCGTCAGTCTGTGCCGCCTCTGATGAGAAAAATAAACCTCTCTCTGTTCTTCTACAGTTCAACTCCTACTCACTTGAATATCTTGCACCAAAAACATTGTTTACTTTCATTTTCTGTTGAAAACTACAAATATTCACTGTTCAAATCCTTTTTGACAGGGGACATTGGTGTACCGCTTGAGTTATACCGTTTACTTTCAAAGACACTCATAATTTAAACAAAATGCTCCTATAAGCTGTAAGACATGTGGGAACATCTAAGTACAGATGAAGTAGCAGGAGCAGGAAACCATTTAGAAGGAGTTTCCTGTGATCACATTCAGATGAGCATATCATAACCTACTGTTTCAAGAACTCTCAGCTTTTATACCAGTTTCTTCTGACTATGTTACTCTTGGTTTAAATACTCATGGCATATCTTGGACAAGTTCTTACCTGATAGTGGTAAGTGGCGGCCATCTTGAATAGTATTGACCCCACTGGTTAATGGCGTGTAGATGTGCATACAGTGACTTTTCTCCATGTAAGAAGTTAATGAACTTGCAGCCAAATAATATTTATAACTTGCTTACAGTATGGGCAGAAAATAATCTTTGATGCAGCCTGTGAGCAGCTATGATGTCATTTTACTTTTTTACTGTTTTAACAGATTTCACAATTTGATGTGATTACTTTAATTAAAACTGTGAGTGAATTAAGGGAAATAACTCACCTACTCTCCTCTTGTACTTTCTCCAAATAGACCAAATTGATGAAAACCTCAAGTTGACGCTACAAGAGGATCTGACGTCTATGGCACCTGGGCTCATCATACAGGTACACCTTCAGTATGTACAGATCCACAGCAGGCTAAAGTATTCGTCAAGATCACAGTGTACAAGTTGATGTACTGACCTGGGATCCCTCTGCTTTGTGGAAGCAGCTGACACTTGCACTACGTGCACCAGGTCGCGCCCCTGCCCAGCAGAGACACGGCGGGAGCGTCTTCATCCACCTTCAGCTGTGTGTATATGTCTGTATGCAGGGGTTCTGACACATCAGCAGTTGTGCGCGCTCTGCAGAGCTGTCTGGAGACGCTCCTGTGCATAAAACGTGCACTGTCTGCAGGGCGCACAGCTGAAGGTGGATGAAAACGCTCCCCACGGGACATGCGGTCCACGTCTATGCTGGACAGGAGCGTGTGCACGAGCTGGTGCACATAGTGCGGCCGGAACATCAACTCTACAGACTGGGCAACATCTTCTCTCGTTGTATCTTTAATAAATAATCAAAATAAAAATGCGCAATGACTTTGGACTTTACGGGGCAGAGATTTGAGTTGCCAGATCCAGGCAAACGGTTGCCGGAATGCAGCCAATCAGAATGAGGGAGTTCCTGGATCATGTTCCGGCAGGATCCGGCTCAAATTAACCACAGCTTACCCATCATTATCAGTCAAATTGACCTTTAACCCCATCACAGTCAGTTTTATACTTAATAGTCAGGATGGTTATGTGGGGGGTTTCATTACATTGATATTATTTCATGTTCATGTGATATTATTTACATGAACGCTCCTACAAGAACCCTGCAGATGTTGGATGCTGTCTATCATGGTGCACTAAGATTCATAACTGGCTGTGATTATCGTACCCACCACTGCACCCTGTATTCATTGGTTAACTGGACATCATTAACTTCACGCAGACTCTCTCACTGGTACATTTTCATCTTTAAATCACTTCTTGGTCTGTTGCCTTCATACATCTCCTCCTACATGTCTCTGCATGAGTGCAGCTACGGAGTGCGCTCTCAGGACATTATTACCTGCAGTGTTCCCTCAGTGAGGACTGAACTAGGCAAAAGGGCCTTCTCCTACTCCGCTCCTGTTTCCTGGAATATCTTACAAAAAGATTGACCTTGACCTCTCTAAGTGGCTTTAAAAATCTGTTGGACTCCTGGCAGGGTCCAATGCAGACATGTTCCTGTTTTTAGTTTTCTACATTTGTCTTGGAATCTAGCTGTTTTTTGTTTTGTTACCTTTTTCCTTTTAGCCATCCTATTTGTTAAAAAAAAAAAAAAAACTGTAGTATGAGTTTTTATAACTGCTTATTGTTGTTGCTGTTGTCCATTGTTGTCATCTTTCTTTGTTGAAATCAGGTCTCTCTTGTAAATGAGTCCTCGAGGCTCAATGGGATTTACCTGTATAAATAAAGGTTGATTGATTACACTGACATTTTATTGGTAGGTGTAATATGGCAGTACGGTAGTCGTTTATCGTGGGGGATCCGTACCCGGAAGCCCCGTGATAAGTGAAAGACTGCGAAGTAGGAATAGTAGAACAAGTAATAAGTAGTAGTTTATTTTAGCATTTATATATATTAGGCATTTTAAACCCTTTCCACACTCTTGCAGTATTCTAAACGCTATATAAAAGAGCACAGAATGTCATGATTTCAGCTCTCTGCCTCCGGCTGCACTCTTGGCCACGCCCACTTCTCCACTCTGCACAGAGATCAACTGATCTGCAGAGCAGAGATCAGCTGTTCATCTGCAGGAGGAAGCTTCTCCCACAGCTGTGTGTAACACATCTACTGGGTTTCTTAGTTTCAAAATCTAGGTTCAGGAAGAGCCCAACACTATACTGGATACTATTGACCACAGAGACAAGTTTTAAGGTGAGAAACAAAACTGTATTTAAATCAGGAACAAAACAAATAAATAAACATTGGCTATGCAAACAAATCTGAAAGAAAAAACTTTGTTATAAGGCCTTTCAGTTTCAGAAGAAAAACCCCGAAGATGTTCAAAAAGATGTTCAAAAGTTAGAATCCATAACTTTGCATCAGGTCCATAATTCAGAGTCCACAGTTCCTACCAACTCAACAGGTAGGGTAGTTCTTCACAAAAAGGTTCTTGTGTCAAGGGTAGCTCACCATCAGAGATTCCACAGGAATATGAAATCATCCACAAAAAAAATCTGACCTATAGAGAGGTAAAAAAAAAAATACATTAAGCATTCATTTGGTTGTACAACACTTCGATTTAGATTACCAAAGCAAATGTTTGGTTTACCTTTAACTTCAATCTTCGTTTTAAATAAAAGAAAAAACACACAACATTTATACTGATATACTGATTTGTTTCCATCTTAATACATAAAACACAATCATTAAACAGTACAAACCTTGGTTTTCAAAGTGTAAATGGGTCCAAAGCTTTTGTTCTGGTGGGCATCGAGTGTGGTTTGTAGTGCTGAGCTAACAGATTTAGCTTTATAAGTGGCAGCAAAAGGAGAGTTTGGAAAATTACTTTGTAAGCTTGGTTAAATCAATAAGAGGTTTTACTAACATCTACTGAACACAACGAACTCACCGCTGATTGTGTGTAGAAAGGTTTGAAAGTCCAAAAAGCCTTTCCAAACAGGTCTCTCAGTCTGACAGAGGAAGTGAGGAAACAGGAAGTGACATGACTTGCTGTCACTCTTTATATACACTCCCATAGAGCAACATGCAATTTGGTAACCAGGTGCAGCTGCTGAACCATGGATTACACCTTCCCCCCAATCTCATGTACGTCTCGGACATGGGGCTGTTTGCTGTATGGCCTTTGACGATCCAGAATAAGGGGTTCCATCAGTGAGGGCATATGAAAATGCCGTAGTCAGTCCATGAAATAGTGACTAGAGAGAATCCAAAATTGGGTGTCCGAGCTCAGTATATTGGAGTCGTTTTGGGGCAGATTTGGATCTACTCGAGTGACGTACAAGAGGAATATCTGGTGGCTGTTCATTTAGAGGTTGATGGGGGAGTTTCTCCTTGTTCAATTTGCAAGATCACATGTTTTATTGTCTGATCTTCTCTTTGTTTCGCAGCAAGCTTCGAGTTGGTCAGTTGAAGTACAACATTGGAATCAAACTGAATGTCATTTACATAACTGTCAGGTAACGCATCACTGGATGCAGCAAGAGACTACACAAGGACAATGTTATCACTGGAGGTAACATTGTTCGAGCCATAGACTACAGTATATGTCTATCACAAATTGCTTGAACAATATGCTGGTTTAGAAAAACAAGAGTGTTAGTTAAATGTTGCTGACAGAATCTGTTGATCCTTTCCATCTCCTTCTGTGAACTGTAGTCATCAGACAGGTTCCCATGAGGTCTGCGAGAAAGTCCATCTGCATCAGAATTTTGCTTTCCTGCTCGATACAGGATGTGGAAAGAAAAGGTAGACGAAGAAGCAAGCCACCTGTAACTGTTTGCGTCTAGTTTAGCTGAGGTCAACAGATAAGTGAGAGGGTTACTATCCATTATGACTGTGAAATGATTGCCATAGAGATAGTCATTGAATTTTTCTGTCACCGCCCATTTTAAAGCAAGAAATTCAAGCTTATGTGCTGGATAGCGAGACTATCTACGAGTAAGACCCCTGCTGGCATATGCGATAACCCTCTCTATTCCTTCTTGTTCTTGATAGAGCACAGCACCAAGAACAGTAACACTGGCATCCGTATGCAAAATGTAAGGTTTCTGAGAATCTGCAAAAGCAAGGACAGGTAAAGTTGTGAGTTTATGAATTATGGTTTCAAAAGAATGCTGGCAAACAGGAGTCCAGCGGCCACCAAATGGATCTTTTGGGTTCAAATATTTTTCTGGTTTCACAATAAGTTTCATAACTTTCTGTGATGGTGAATATCCAGATGTGAGGTCATGCAGAGGTTTAACAATAGTGGAGTAGCCCTTCACAAACCTTCTGTAATAGCCAGCAAAAGAATCAGAATCAGAATGCCTTTATATTATACGCAGTACAATGAAATTAAGAGCCACTCCTTTTTCCAGTGCAAAAAACACGCCTTAAGAAAACACACATTAAACACACACTAAAAATATAAAAAATGTAACGCAATATAGATAATAATGAAATGAATAAAATAATAATGAAAGTAAAAAATACAAGTATTACACAATTGTATTGCACATTATGGATATTAGTGAGGTAGTTAAGGTGACTGAGAGTATGAAATGTCAGTAGTATTGCACAATAGAAGTCCAGGGGTTTGGGAGGTTAGATTATTAAATCAGTGCATGTGTGAGTTCAGTGTGGTGATGGCTTTCGGGAAAAAACTGTTCTTGAATCTGTTTGTTCTTGTTCTGATGGACCTGTAGCGTTTCCCTGAAGGTAACAAGTCAAACAGTTCAAAACCCGGGTGTGAACAGTCCACGATTATGTTTTCTGCTCTGTTGAGGCAGCGTGATGTGTAAATGTCCATCAGGGAGGGGAGAGGGCAGCCAATTATCTTTTGTGCTGTCTTGACTACTCTCTGAAGCCTCTCCCTGTCAGCCAGGGTGCAGCTGCCGTACCATACTGAGATACAGTATGTCAGCAGGCTCTCGATGGACGAGTGGTAGAAGGTCAGCAGCAGTTTTGTGTTCAAGTTGTGCTTCTTAAGGACTCTTAAGAAGTGTAGTCTCTGCTGAGCCTTCTTGATGACCGCTGTGGTGTTCTCTTTCCAGTTTAGGTCAGCAGAGATATGGACACCAAGATATCTGAAAGTGTGAACCCTCTCCACGCACTCGCCGTTGATGTAAAGGGGGGCTAGGTTGGTTCTGTGCTTCCTGAAATCAATAATCACCTCCTTGGTTTTTTTGATATTCAGAGCCAGATTTTTCTCTGAGCACCAGGTTGCTAGCTCCAGGACCTCCTGTCTGTAAAATGTCTCATCTCCCTTAGAGATTAGTCCGACCACTGTGGTGTCATCAGCGAACTTGACGATGAGGTTGTTGTTGTGGGCCGGGCTGCAGTCATGGGTGTAGAGACAGTACAGCAGGGGGCT